GGGATGGCCCTGTTTTTGGAGAAAACAGATTCTAGACTGTATAGCCTGAAAGACTCCAGGATCACCCTCAAGTTTGAATCTCCACACACTGGCAACCTAGCAGAAACATTGCAGGCCATAGCCCCCATCTTATCCATACCAGCTCCAGAACAGGCAGGATTCTTCCTGCAGCTGGGGAGGAAATAATAGAAAGAGGCTGCACACATTGTTAGACCAGGGCTCTGGTTAGGCAAAGCAGTCTGCTAACCACAAACAGCCCTTTTTAAGGTGTGCTTGGGGGGCAACACACCAATCGAGATACTGGATCCACCCTGCCATACCTTCTTGTGTCCTTTCAACTCTGTGTGGGCCTGTATTATATTGTTGGGTGCTCTGCAAGGTTGAAATGGGATACTCCCTCCCCCCAATTCTTCCATACCCTATCCTATCCCTCTTCAGGGCTCCTTCTCACAAGCATCTCCTCATACAGGAGTTGCACTTGCTCCTATCATGGGGAGCAATGGAAGAGGTGTATTAGGAACTGAAGGGCAAAGGCTCCTATTCCTGATATTTCCTAACACCAAATACCAAAGGTGAGCTCAGGCCCATCCTAGACCTGTGGGTACTCAAAGGTTTATGAAGAAACTAAAGTTTCAGATTGTCTCTTTGACCTCCAGTATAACTTCTTTGGATCCAGGGGACTGGCATGCTGTCCTCGACATGAAGGATACTTACTTTCACATTGCAATCATGCTTTTCCATAGAAGATATCTCAGGTTTGCTATGAATAACATTCACTACCAGTTCACATTTGATCTATCAGCTGCTCCTCACCTGTTTACCAAGTGCATGGCAGTTGTCACTGCTGCATTCTTTCACAGACATCAGGTACAGGTATTCCTATACCTAGATGACCTGCTAACATTATCTATAGGTTTCCGGCAGTTCCCCACTCCCATAGAGAGGAATTGCCTGAAGCTCTTGGAACACATGGCTGCCTGTATCTCTTGGTGCAGCTCACCAGGCTCAGACTCTAGTCAATCCAGTTGTGTCTGGCCTCTGTATATTGGCTCACTTGGAACAACAATTTACACAAGATAATCAGATTGCCTTGCCCAATCCTTTTCTTTCTAATCTGAGGGCTCAACCCACAGGTGGTGTATACAGGAGTTCCCTTCAACTGCTCCCAGCCATCCCTCAAACATAGAATGCTAGAACTGGAAAGGACCTCGAGCGATCATCAGATCCAGTCCCCTGTTCTCACAGCAGGACCAAGCACTGTCTAGATTAGGGTGGTCAATAATTTTTTTATGGGGAGCCACTCCAAGAATTTGGAAAGTGTTCGAGGGCCACACCCTTCCATGATATGAATGGAGGAGGTGCGGTCTGGGATGGAGGTTGGATACAAAAGGGAGTTCGGGACAAGGGAGGGAGTTTGGATGAACGAGGCAGTTGTGATCTGGGGCACTGGATTGAGATGTGTGTTTCATGTCCATATCAGAGAACAATAGTTATGAGAAGGCAAGTGTACAGCTTCCTCTTATAACATAAAGCAAGGTCAGGGTTTGGTTGTGCCAGTATAGTGCAATGTGCAAGGAATTAGATTGTTTCTCATAAAATATAAAGGGAGGGGCCTACCAGGAGGGAGTTATACTACAGAATGACCATTTTGATTAGAAACCCTCCTCCTGTAAGGGTCACAGAACACAGATCACCTCCCTTCACCAGCAAAGCAGCTTGCTTCATCATCTCCACCAGTTCCTGTTGATGGAGGTGTTGCTGCTGCAGCTGCACAAGTTACTGGAGTGGATGTTGCTTCTGCTGCTGTTCATTTTACATTTATTACATTTATTAAAGCAAAAATCAGAGTGTGTGTGTGTGTGTGTATACACACCCACACCCCCCCACGCAAAGATTTCCCAACTCAGATATAGTGCTTTGCCTCTCTGACACTTTTCTTTTTGCACCTTCTGGGATCAAACAGAGGGATGAAGGGAAGATAAACTCCTTACTTACTACAAGCCAGGTATTGCTCCTGTATGCAGTTACAAGAACAGATTGTGTTATATTCCTTCAAGTGGGCAATTACAGTGGGTACTGAAATTCTGAATCTCTTGAGTGTTTATCTTAGTTTTATGTTAACTTTAACATTTTTTTTTGCATATAAACAGGATATTTTTACCTTTTGGCAGTGAAGAAACCATAAGTAACAGCTAATTCCTGTGGTTTTTGACATTTGATTATAAATTCTTTAAGGCAGGGACAACCTCTACATTGTTTGCATGTGCAATACCTATAGATTATTCCTATAGATTGCTGTGCAATCTTGAGTTAATAGCACTCTTGCCCTGGAGAATACAGGCAGTCCCCGAGTTACGCGGATCCGACTTACGTCGGATCCGCAGTTACGAACGGGGCCGTTCCTCTCCCTGGTCTCCAGCAGACCAGGGAGAGGAAGCAAAGCGGCGGAACACGTGGGCAGCGGACAGGGCTGTCCGCTGCCCACGCACTCCGTGGCTTGGCTCTGCTTTGCTCTGCTTTGCCCCCCGCCTCCCCCTGGTCTGCAGACCAGGGGGAGGGGGGGGGCAAAGCAGAGCCAAGCAGCGGAGCGCGTGGGCAGCGGACAACCCTGTCCGCTGCCCACGTGCTCCGTCG